ATGTTAGCTATTATTATTATCAAACCAACCTTTCTACTAGCTTAGCTGTCTTACTTAATTTCCCCTATTCTTCTCTTAGCGTCCCCTATCTCCATGCCTTTATTCATGCCATTATCCACTTTGCCATTATTAAATGACTTCCCAGAGTCACACAGTCAGTAAGTATCTGAGGCTGGATTTGAACAGATGTCTTCCATACTCCAGATCCAGTGTTCTGTCTGCTGTGCTATGTAGTTGCCTACAGAGGTAGCCACTACCTCACAGAGTTGTTCAATAACCAACAAACATGTACTAAGTCCCATGGAATTATAGTAGGTGCTGGGGATACAAATAAAAAAGTGATAAAGTGATATAATCTCTGCCCTCAATGAGCATATAATTGTTTTGAGGATCAAATGAGATTCCATTTATATGCGTGTACAGCTTTAAGCACGATATAGATGTACGTTATGAAAAGATTTCAAAATTCTGTACCATTTTCCATTTGCAAGGGATGTTATAGTCAAAATATGCTCACTTTTTCCTATCGACTTGTTAATGATCCAAATTTTATGCTTAAAGTCACTTCTGAACACTTTATAGCATTTATTAATTGCCTTCGTTAGCAAATAAACATTTTCTACTTTTCCTATGCACAGGTTTTGGAAAGCCTATACGTATAATTGAAAGGTGGTTTCCTTTTTGATGGCTCTCAGACCCCAAATGCAGTTAGGAATCCGTTTCATTATCCCTCCAATATCACATCAGGTTTTAATAAGCCTTCTTTTTGTAACACACATGTGCCTGAGACTTCATGGAAACCAAATCAGTAAGGAGAAGGGATTACTTTAGAGTCCTTTGAAATATGCTTTGTTTGGAATGGCCTCTGGTGACCAGCTTTCATGAATGGCTGATTTTGCTTGTGGGGGCCCATCATCTGTTTTAATCATACCCACCTCCTTTGTACAGAAAGTACACTTCTTGCATGCACTGAAATAAGAAATTTTAAAATAAAGTAAATTCATTGGTGAGAAGATATATTTAAAGTGTGGACAATAATAAAATTTTGACATTTCAGTGATTAGAGATGTGATTATGCCTGTGTAGTGCCCATGCACATAGGTTGAACTACAAGCTTAACCTCACTAATGGAATTAATTCTTTACATGTCAGACTGAGCAATAAATTATGATGCTTCCCCTTAACTTGTTTAAAAGTTGTATTCTGTAAGTTTATTTCTCACATCTCTGTAGGTTAAAAACTTTATGAAAGTTTCCTGATGGTGGGATACCAGTGATATATTTCTATCAACCAAAAAATGACCTTCTAATTAATAACTCACAGACTTTCAGAGATGTAAGAGAGACCTCAGTGGTAATATAGCCCAATAATTATCCACCGGGAATTCATGATATAACATCCTTAACAGTCATCCAACCTTCATTCACATCAAGACCTCCAGTGATGAGGAAATTACTACTAGCAAGGGTAGCCCATTCCTTTGAAAGGCTCTAATTGTTAGAAAATTCTTCTCTGCATGGAAATTTTCTTTTTACTTAAATTGAATTGAAGGCACACTTTAAATTCTGAAATCAGAATGTGTGTGCTTATTTCATTCAATGCAGACATTGCAATTTTCAGGTCAACTGCAGTCAATTGTTTCTGTGAAGATGTTATGAAGTCATGACTTTAAGACCTTGTGCTGAAATTCTAGCTGACAGGTATATAAATCCATTTGAAGCCATTGATAAACATCTCAATAATGACCACATTATAACTTGAAGACTGGTGGATAAATTGGATGGATTGGTAAAGAATTCTATAAATCGCATAGAGACAGACTAAATGTAGATAGCTGATCACATTTTTTGTATTCCTTATAAACCCTTTGCTTTACAGCTGAATTTAATGGATTAGCCTTCCAGTAGAGGCAGCAGCCTCTGCTACTTACCACCATGTTGCATGGTGAAGATATTTTTTTTAATGGCCGTAGGCTTGATATCACAAAGGAAATTGAATTAAAGGATCTATGTATTTTTGCCTGACAACGTTGTCTGCAATTGCCCCATTTTGCTTTTTAAGGACTAGTTAACAGGAAGTATACTAATGCAAAGACAGCAGGACTTTTAGTTACTTACAAAACACCTGTTGAAAATGAATTTGCCATCTAACTACCAAGAACTCCCTTTTTATTTTTTCCTCTGTGAGGCAGTTGGGGTTAAGTGACTTGCCCAGAGTCACATAGCTAGTGAGTGTTGTGTCTGAGGATGTCAGATTTGAACTCAGATCCTCCTAATTCCCAAGGCCAGTGCTCTATCCACTGCACCACCTAGCTGCCCCAACTATCATATTCTTATAAATATCTCTCACTTCTATCTTCTTGGTTCTGCTTAAATTATTACTTTGCTAGTGTAGACTTTCCTTATCTTTGCCCTGGTTTATTAAGAGGGAAACTGAGGCCCAGAGAAATGAAATAACTGAATCAAGGACAAACAGGTAGTAAGCATGAGAGGTTAAGATTAGAGCATAGAGCATTAGAGCATAGTCACCCAACACTGAAGCCAGAACTCTTTCCACTGTAGTATGCTATACCATCCACAATTTGGATCACAATTAGAAGCAGCCAATTAGCACAGTGGAAAGACCACTGGGCCTCAGGTCAGAAAGACCTAAGTTCAAATCTGGCCTCAAACACTTATCTAGCTGTGTGACCATGAGTAAGTGATTTAACTTCTGCTTGCCTCAGTTTCCTTATCTGTAAAATAGCACTTGCCTCCCAGAGTTGCTGTGAGGATCAAATGAGATAGTATTTGTAAAGTGCTTGGCACGGTACCTGACACATAGTAAGTACAATTTAAATGTTAGCTATTATTATTATCAAACCAACCTTTCTACTACCTTAGCTGTATTACTTAATTTCCCCTATTCTCCTCTTAGCGTCTCCTATCTCCATGCCTTTATTCATGCCATTATCCACATCAGGAATGGCCTCCTATTAATAAAGATCAAATTGATTTGGTATCAATTTGATATATTTGATAACATTCCAACCTACTCAGAGTTTTTTTAAGCTAATAATCTCATCCATTGGTGCAGATGTCTTTTGCTGAGGTTAACGACTTCTTTCTAGCCAAATCCAACTTCTCCTTTCCCGAGCCTCTTTGCTTACTGCTTTTGACAATGATGACCATAATGTGATCCTCTGCAGCAGCTGCTCCAGTGAGGCTATGTCTTCTTGGCTCACTGTGTCTCTGTTAACTTTTAACTTAATATGCATAAGCTAGGTATATAGCTCCATGTCAGGCACCAAGCTACAAGATCAAGAATGACATGATCCCTGGCACTATGGAGCTTCCATTCTAAAAATGGAAAAAGATTATAGCTGGAGGGTCTTAGAGGCAACCAAGTGCAAGCCTCCTCATTTTTCAGATGAGTAAACTGAGGCACAGAGAAGTTAAGTAACTTGCCCAAGGTCACACAGCTAGTAAGTGTCCAAGGTGAAGATTCGAACCCAGATCCTCCTGATTTCAAGTTTAGCATTCTACCCACTATACCAATGCTGCCTCTCAGGTAAAAAAAAACTATTAAACAAAATAGAACAAAATGAATACATAGGAATGATTTTCAAAAACTAAGTTATATGTGACATCAGCAGAAGGATCATCTTAATATAATTATTGATCTTTTTATTTTACATCACCTTCACTTCCAAATAAATCTCTCCTCCTTCCCCTATACAGCAAGCTATCTTTTATAACAAAGAATAAGAAAGAGGGGGAAAAGCAGGTAAGCTAAATTAACCAACACGTTACACTAATTGGGCAGTGTGTGTGTGTGTGTGTGTGTGTGTGTGTGTGTGTGTATTTATGTTTATCCAATAATCTCTTTAGTTCCCCTGGGATCTAAACCCATAGTTTCCTATCTCTGCAAATGTGTGAAGGTTTTCTCATCTCTTCTAAGGCCAAGATTATTGGCTTCATAATTACTTAGCAAGAAAGGATCATTTTTCATTGGGAAATCACCTCCTCCATAGGTGAATAGGGTATTGAAAGATGTGTTGGAATTTGACAGGTGGAACAGTCATAGCCCCTAGGGGCATAACACTTTAGCCAGGATTTTTGCTATAATCACCCTTTGAAGTCGGCTGTGTCACTGCCAGGTAAAAGACAAGGAAACTAAGGTTCAGGTAAATGAATTGAGCTGGTTGCAGACATGAGGGCCAAAACTGGAACCTGTGTCTTGGGACTCCAAGCTACTCTTCTTTCCACTAAGCCTCACTATCTGCCTATGCTGAATCCTCCTCCTTCCTCTGCTTTGTCAAGTTGCCCCAGAGTTCAGTTCTGAGATAGTTGCATTCCCTTTACACATCCAGTCCTTTTATAAGCTCATATATTCTTGCAGTTTCAATCATCACTAATAAATATACGACTCCCAAATCTATATCTCCTTCATTAACTTTTTATTCTCCCTCGAGGCCTCTATATCTTGTACTCTGAAGAGATTTCCATTTGGATGCCTTGCAAACAGACAAAAGTGGCCTATCTCATTATCTTCTCCCCTTCATTTTCCTCATGTGTCATATTTTTTTTTCTTTACCTTTAATAACTTCTAGGTAGCGATAGCTATTTAGGCAGAAAAATAACTAAATGGCAGAGAACCTAAAGTTTCTGAGACAGCTGAGAAACTATTAAATAACTAAGAGGTTACATATCCAAAATATTAAAAATTTACTGAGAAGTAAGTAAAGCCTGTCATCTCAATAGCATCTTGCAACTGATGAGATACATTTTAGTGACATCAGAAATCTAGACTTCTCGATACTAAGGGTCACGTCACTAGGTACTTTCAGTCCAATCTTGACTTATTATAATATACATGTCTAATGGGGCCTTTACTGATATAATCAGTTTATTCTAGCTTCATCAGAATTTTTAAAATTATAGCCTAGCTAGTCAAAGGACACATCTTTTAAACACTTTAAAGTATTTTTCAGACCCATCAGTTTGTTTTATTCTCCCAAACCCTGTGTGACATAGGAATTATATTATTTCACTTTATAGGTGAGAAAAGTGAAGTATAGAGATGGCAGGTAAGTTAGCCAACATCAGGTAATTTTAGAAGCAATAATCCAAAGGATCAGAGTCGAAACGGCCAAATTCCACTACTAAGTCTTCCAGTCCACTGTTCTCTAACCATGTTTGTCTCTCTTCAGTTCTTCTCTTTTGCTCTTTTCTCTGTGGGAAGGCATGAAAGGAAATTTCTCAAGGTCTAACCCAGGCTTTCTAGAATTTTCAAAGAAAAAGTGCACTGAAGGCCCTACAATTCAGATTTAGGAGACAATTTGATTGTAAGCTCCTCGAGGCCAAGTACTGATTTGTTTTTTTCCTTTATCTTCCCAGCACCTAACAATACAATAATTTGATTCAAATCAGAAAACATTTATTAACACAGTAACTTGTGCATAGCAGGTGCTTAGAAAAATGTTTGCTTTAAAAAAAAATTACTGGGTTGGGGGATAGTCGGTTCAACTGGTGTTTGTCCTGAGGCTAAATATAGCATATGCATATCAGGAAAATTAGCACAGACTGGAAACCCAGGAGTGGAAGAAGATGTGTGAACAGATTAGAGATAGTTTGAAAATATTGTCCCAGAAGGAAACAGATGGAGTCTATCTTCTTTGCTTGGAATTTTGATGAATTAACTTGGGAAATGGACATTTCTTGGATTGAGTGTATGTTGTCTTTCTTTGCCAGCTATGAGATTCCAAAGAAAGAAAAAAGGCCCTTTTATAGATGATCTTTTTAAAAGAGTGGTTTCATCCTCAAGGCCACCTCCACAGAAAACAAATTGTGAATGAGAACCTTTAAGCTTAAGCCTAAGAAAGAAAGCCCACACAAACAGACACCAAGAAGAGTCATGAGCAGGGGAGAAAAATAAGGGTCAGAACCACCGTTTGATGCTTGTATTCTCCTTGGCATAGTTCTGAGATTAAACTTTTAGTTGGCTTTAAAGGAGGCCATTGAAGGCAATGGGTGGAGATGAGGAGGAAGAGCATTATAGGCATGGAGGACAGCAACGGAAAATGGCTGGAGCTGAAAGAGGGAGTGTCTTGTTCATGGAATAACCAGGAGGCCAGTATCACCAGACTGAAGAGCACATATCAGGGAGTAAGGTGTAAGAAGACTGGAAGGGGGCTAGATTGTGAAAGGATTTGAATGCCAGAGGATTTTGCACTTGATCCTGGAGGCAATAAGGGGACACCGGAGTGGGACAGTGATGTGATTGGACCGACAATTTAGTGGCTGAATGCAGGATAGATTGAAGTGGGAAGGGACTTGAGGCAGGCAGACCCCTCACTGGACTATTCAAATAGTCCAGGCTTGAAGTGATGAGGACCTGCACCAGAGCAGTATTGGTGTCAGATGAGAGAAGGGGGCATACTGGACAGATACGAACAGGGTGAAATTGGCAGGCCTATAAGAATGAATGATAGTTAGGAGTCAAGGATGTTACCCAGGTTATGAGACTGAGGCATGGTACATGATGCTGCCCACTATAGTAATAGGGAAGTTGGAAGAGTTTTAAAAAATGAAGGTTAAGCTTGCAAATCAGTCCATACTCAGAGTCCTAGGGACTGAAGTCCTCTGTATAACCACCAATAAGGTCAGAGAAAAGTCAATATCTAATCAACTTCAGACATTATCCTTTATCCCTCAGACCTGACTGCTCAACATGTAAGACAGCCTTGGATCAGGCAGGCTATAGGTCCCATGCATTCTGATGGCAGTGATGAGGTGTTAGACTTGGGTTCTGCTGTAGGAGACGAGCATATGTAAACTATATCCAACCCCACTCCCCATTGGCTAGGTATCTACCCTCCATTCTTTTTTATGTGTCTTGAAACATTTAATGACACATTTACATTTCTCCTTGGCTGTCCTATACAAAGAGCCAATTAAACTTTCCATATAGTGGCTGACTGGGAACTGCATTTGGGGTTTTTGTTTAATGGCTTGGATAAAGGCTACTTGTATTCAAATCCTGATTCTTGGATAGAACATAGTTCCCTAAGCTCAATTTCCATGTGTAAGAAAAGTTTCTTTTTAAATTTCTCTCATTTTCTATTATGTCTCTAGACAAATTGTGATGTCTCTAAGGACACTTGTAGTCCACCACAAAGTATCCAATGCAAACATTGCATCCTGTCTCTTCTGTCAAGTCCTGCATTTTGTCTGTTTTCTTCTTTACTTCATTTCCTTTACGTTCTGGAAACCAGGCTGTGAGAGGATAACAGGTTTTAAAAGGTCATTTTTAAATAAAGAATTGTCTGTGTGGATTCTTGTAAGGGGTTTTGTGTGTGTTTGGTGGAGCTAAAAAAAAAGTTTGATTCAACCAGTATGGATGGATGATTAATCTTTTTTTTTTCATAATCCCATTGATATGTTTTTATAAATGCATTACTGAAATAACTAACAAAGTAAGACAGAATAATTACAATACTTTTTGTGACTCAAAAGGAAAGGGAACTATATTGTCAAAAAGCAATGCATCTTAGCAAAGGCAATGTTTTCCCCTTTTCCTTTCTTAAGAAAGGCTTATTGGTGTGTTGCATACACCAAGAAGCCAGTACTACTTCCCTAAAGCACTAAAGTTAATAAGATGAAATAAGGAATAATTGTTAATCACTTGCTTTGGGTTAGTGCAAATTGTTTTCTTATGGAGATACAATTATCAGGAAATTTCAATTTCACAATATGGGGCAGAAATATTATTGAACTGTTGCTCATGTCACTGCTCAGAAGAGTGAGGTTTGCTGGAATTTCTGTATTGAGAGTATCTGCAAAGTTTGATGTACCACTGTGACCAGTATAGGAAATTCACATCCAGCCTCACTTCCCACACATCCTTTTAGATTTTGTAGGTAACCAAATTTTGTTAAGAGGCATCATGGGTGACAGAGAAAAGTGTTGATCAGGAAAATCTGACTTCCAATTCTGCCTCTAATACTATGTGTCCATGGGCAAGCCACTTAGATTCTCTGAGTCTCAATTTCACCCTCTATAAAATGGAGATACTAATGCCTAGAGTACCCATCAACCTCATAAGTTATTGCAAGACTAAAGTAAGATAATGCATGCAAAGCAGTTTTGAAACTTTAAATTGTCAGTTATTATTATTAGTGATGTTTGAGGAGCAGCCATTAAATGAAACTAATTTTTTTGCCGTTTTAAGCTGATCCACCTACCCCTTTGTGTGAAAAAGCTCAATTTAGCATCTTAATAGGATCATAGAAGCATTGGTATAGAAGTGAAAGGAACTTAAATGCCATCTCCTCCCTACATTTTCCTTACTCCTCCTGTTTTCTTGTTCTTTCAAATCTGTAACTTTAAATAAATGCACAGAAATGAATGCACAATAAACCATTAGGGTAGACTAATTGCAGACTTTTCATACTCAGAATGCCCTTTAACTTCCACAAAAGCCCTGGAGAAGACATGCTGAATCTCGTATATTGACTTCTGCCTGGGCATAGGGTCAGTCTGAAATGGAATGCTGCTTGATAGACAATGCAGTCAGGATTTCCGTGCTAGAGACGCTGGGATTTTTGTTTAGTTTTTCTCTCATATACACATGCACAAAGTAATTGGAGGCTGTAGAGTGAAGAGCATTAACATTGTTTATAAAACATCTCATAAAGCTTAAAATAATAGGGGTGTGTGTGTGTGAAAGCCAAAATCATGTGTATGGCCAGGACTAAACAGCATACAGTATTTTTCCCCACCACCTTGTCCCCCACTTTACCTTTCTGAAAATATGGAACTTTCTGTGGCCCTCTGAAATCAGTGGAGTCCTTTCCTCCTACAATGCAATGCTTCCATTTAATTAGTCATGCTTATTTGTATAATGCTATGCTGCCTGCCTGGTTACAAAGCCTCAGGTGTGTGAGTTGAGTGTCTGATGAAGTCTGCTCCTTTCTAATTAATTTTAGGGCACAGTAATTCCCATACAGACTTTCTCATAGGCCTTCAAAAATGGGGTAGTGGGGAGATGAGTGAGATCTTTTGCCACTTTTTTAGTAATCTAAGAGAAAATGAGACAGTTTTAGGTTAGTGCTCTAAAGTAGGAGGGCATTTATTTCTCTGGCCTTAGGGGTGTGTGTGTGTGTGTGTGTGTGTGTGTGTGTGTGTGTATGTGTTTCTTTTTTTCTTTTCCTTCTCCAGTGGAGACTTGCAGTGGCTTTGCGGAGCTTCAGCCTGAAATGCAAAAAGAGTGTTAAAAAAAAAAACACGTTAGAGTATAGTGGCTAACCTTTAGTCCCCGGACCAATCAATCATTTTCAGTTGCAGGTTTATATGTGCTGCCGCAAAGCCCAAGCTCTGTGTTCTCAGCGCATGGAGCTTCACAATAGTGAGGCTGTTTGACCGACAAGTCGGGAGAGGGGCTCGGATAGGCACCCGGGTGCCGAGCCTGGGAAGAGAGAGAGAGAACAGTGAGGGAGACCTCGGCTCGCCAGAGGGACGGTGCGCTCAGCTCTGCCTCTGATGGATGGGGGGCAGCTAGGAGCTCTCATAGTCAGGGCTGGGGGAGGGCTTCACTGACAGTCACTTAAGATGAACTCTCTGTCAGGAGAAAAGAAGCTCCCGGGTAGTGATCCAATGCAGATTACAAATGACAGCTATGCCTTCCATACAGCTTGAAAGGGGTTCTATATTTTACACAGGTGAGTTATTTCTCTTCCAACTTCTCATTACTTACCCAACCTCCTCCACCTACCCACGCACCCACCTACTCACACGAAATGCTCTGTTATTTGACAGACTATATAGTCTAATGTTACTTTTGTTAAGGATTTTTTTAAGTATTGTTACAAATGCGTGCACAGATAACGACCCTGACGGTTCTTTATTTTAATGATCAACTTTGAGCCTGAATGTGAATAGTAAGATATTGTTTGAAATAATTGGTAGCAGTCCCGTGTTTTGTTTTCTTCTGTTCTTCTGTCTTCGTGTCTGGAAAGAGAAAAAAAAAAGGCATGTTGCGGGCTATTCAGAAGGGTTATTCCAGATCAGAAGAACTTGTCTCAAGATCTGTGGCTGATATTTCCTTTATTTTTTTTCTCTCCTCTGATAGGACTCCATCGGCAGATGTTCCATATACCTCTGCAGCACAGAAATTGATTACTCAGACCAAATACTTAATTCAAGGTACTATCTACTTCTAAAACGTATTAACATGTGAAGCCTTATCTGGAGATTATAAACTGGCAATGAAATTGAAATAGGCAAGGGGCAATTTGGAAAACAAATGAAGGAAGTAAGCTTGTAAAATATTCGAGTATGCAGAAAAGGTGTGTAAGTTTGTTACCTCCTGGCTGCTTTGACTGGTTTTCACTTATCTCTACTACTTTTCTATAAGTTCATTTTGATATTTGGGTTTCTGTTTTACTCTCCTTTTTCTCCTTTTCTCTCTCCCTCTTCCCATTTTCTTTCTGACTCCACAGATCTCTGACCCAAGAAACAAGCATTTGGTCTGTTTTGCAACACTGAAACATCTACAATGAAGTCCTATTGCTGGACTCTAGTTTTGGCTGTTCTGGGTACAGAATTGCTGGGAAGCTTCTGCACCACTGTCAAATCCCCACGGTTCAGAGGGCGTGTGCAGCAGGAACGAAAAAACATCAGACCCAATATTATTCTTGTGCTCACAGATGACCAAGACGTGGAACTGGGTGAGAGACTTTTAAAAGAAAACTGTTTTCACCTCCTTTGCATAAGTAATTTCACTACTTTCTAGCCTCCAAAAGACAAGTCCGTGCCTTTTCTTCCAGGTTAGTGTACCTATCAGTTGACCTAGTTTTAGAAATGAGATTTTATGGGACCTAAAGTATTATATTTTGCATTTTTATCACTTCCTTTGACTGTCCAAAGCTTGACATAATCTGTTTTGAGGGGGAAATTTATTTGTGGAAGCTAAAAATTTGACCTTGCAAGTTGGAAACTGTTGGCAAACAGATTAAATACTGTTTAGGCAAAAACTTTTCTAAAATTGTGAAGCTCAAGTACATATAAAGTATATGGATAGAGATATATAATAAGAAAATTTCAAAGACAGGTGCATTACAGTGGGACTCGTTGAAAAGATGGCATCATGTTTGCCAACAAAAATGAAACTTCAATGTTTTACAAATTATGTTGTTAAAATTGGCTAGGCAGCCAATGTCAACTTTAGGAGTAATGGCTGTTTCTTCGAAGAAAATATATAACTAGGGTAATTTAGAATACAGCCCAATGTCAGAGTTTTTGCAGCTAACCCTAATAAGATCCACAGTTTTCTATTTAGTAGCTCTACTGTAGTCATATCATGATTTTCTGTTTGCTTCTTCTGCCCTGCAACATTTCCCTAGGTACCATACCAGTGGGGACGGGTGTGGGGATGAGGGAAGAGAGCATTTATTAAGTACCTACTATGTGCCAAGTACTGTACTAAGCCCTGGGAACATAAATACAAGCAACCAGAGAGTCCTAAGCTTCATGGTGTTTATGTTCTAATGGGGGAAGAGAACATATCATGGGGTACTGGAAAGGAGAGACAGTACCTATATGAGGGAAAAGAGATTGGTTAGGAGAGAAGTTTAGAGAGTAAATTCAGCAAGAATGAAATGAACATATCAGTGATCCCTTCTAAAATGGCAGTTTAGAGGATAGGATAGCATGTTCTCAGGTAGTGAGGAGGTTGAAAAGTCCGAAGAGTACAGCACTGGGCTGAAATGAGCACGACTGGAGTCCTTTCTGAGATAGTGGTCACAGAGAGGCAGTCACCAATCAGGAAAGCTGGGCCTTCCAGCTTAGGTATCCCCAGAGTCTTAGGTTATCCATAAGGGTGTGCTCATAAGTATTTAACAAGTAACTCTGCCCCCCCCTTAAAAATGTACCCATGAAACTTTTAAATTTAATCTGTACCATTAACCTTTTCTCCATCGCTTTCTTAAGTCTAGAATATCAACAAAACGGTAAGACAAACTTTGACTTGTAGCATTTACCAATTTCCAAGGTATAAATGCTCACACTAAAAATTTAATAGTCAAGCTCCCTCCTGCTGCACCCCTGCACTCATTTCTGGAAGGCATGAGAATCAACATTACACAGTGGAAGGAGGGCTGGATTTGCTTTGAGAGGACCTGGGTTCAAATTCTCCATCTGCCCCTTCCTACCAGTATGATAATTTTAAAACAACTCACTTAAATTTTCTATGCCTCAGTTTCCTCATCTATAAAAGCGAAGGTAGACTTGTTGATCACCAAGATCTGTGATCCTTTGAAGTTAAGATCAGTTACTTCTCCCCCACAATTGTCTAGGTCATATTCTCATGTTCCCCAGTTTGCTGTGAATCAGAAAACTCTCCTCTAGTTTGATTGCTGGACTGAAAAAGGCCTTGCCTGGATAGCCTACCTTAGATCCTCAGTTGTGCTAGAAAGGAGGGAGAGAGGGAACTAGTTCCAGCTCAGAAAGTCCCTTTGAACATTGGCTGTCCTGTCACTGCAAACCTGGAAAGAAGCACATCCCCAAGTCGATGTTACTTTGCAGACCATCTCATACGCAGTTTAGTTGAGATCATATAAGGTAGTTCGTAGAGAATCTTCCAAAGCTTTCTTGGTCACCTACTGCCAAAATTCCTTTCCTTCAAAGGCCCCCCAAAAATTGATGTCTTTGTTTTGTATCACATAATTTTTTAAAATCCTAAAATAGGTTCTACCTTGAAGACTTCCCAGATGTACCCCTCTCCCTTCTCCAAGTTGAAAGTGATCTCTTCCTCCTCAAATTTCTCATATCACTTTGTCTCAACTTCTCCTTTGCACTTATCACAATATTTATTATATTTATTTTATTCACATTCTTTTTCCTTCTTTAAACTAACCTTTTTGAAAGCAAGACGTATGTGGTGTCCATGTGGTATCATTATGTTCCCAGTACTTAATGCCTCATACATAGAAAACACTTAATTTTCTTTTAGTTGATTAGAAAAACTAGTAACACTTCCCAATTTGTCTAAAACTATATCACTGGCCTCGGAGCCTTGTCAGTCCCAATACAGGGCTTGTTCTACTCAGTTCTGAGCTATCCAGGGAACATCACAACTGCCTGAACCAAACTGTAATATCTGGTCACTTTCCCTAGCTCCCCCTTTCCTTGATTTTCTTCTTTTGTGCCCCTTAATGAATGTTTATTGATTTGAATTCTTTCTATTGTTGATCCAGAACATAATCCATGATCATAATCATATGACCATAACCATATGACCATAACCATAATGACCATAATCAATGAATATTTCTCAAATCCTTGTAAATGCAAGACATTGGTCTGTGTGCTCAGTATCTAAAAGCAGAAATGAAAGAGTATTTTTCCTCAGGGAACTTGCATTCTGTTAAAGGAATTTGGCAAGAAAAATAAATAAGAGGTAAGAAGGAAAAAGCATGAAAAACTTGGGAGATCAAAAAAGGTTTTGAATGTTAAATAGCACATCAGCTGATTTGAATATGAAGGAAGCTAAGAATTCTACCTGTCCTGAAAATGTATGCTAGAGATAAGAGACAAAATAACAGAGGAAAGGTAAAGGTAGAAGGTAAATGGGGAGGATCAGCCAATATTTTATGAAACTACAACTTGGTTATATTTTTATTAAATAGACACCAGTAGCCTTAAAAAGTAAATACAGTTCTCAGAAATGATTGCAAGAGTTAGAAATTATTCTAAAATTATCACTTTGTGACAGAGTAACTTGATGTAAAATCAGGGGAAGATTTTTTGCTTTCATATAACTCATAAATCAGGGATTCTAATGTGAGGTATATCACATTTATTTTAATTATAAACTACATTGATAGCCTGGCATAGTGAAATCTGAAAGACATGGTTTCAAGCACTACCTCTAATTCATGTTTTCTTAAGAATTTTCTTAGTGGCTACATTCACTACTTGACCACATCCAAGTGCGTGAAACAGTAATGTCACAATAGTATGACCAGAGACAGGTCAGTTAACTTAGTTCCCCAGGCAGCTCTGATGAAACCTTAGGACCTAAAAAATAAACTAATGATCAAGAAAAACAAAAAGCCAAATAAACATACAAGATAAATAATAAAAGTAAACCTAAACCCTTACACTATCATGTAGAACATTTCAACATTGTAGAACCAGACAATGAGGAGTAAACCAACTACATGTTTATCTGTTACATTTCTTTTCCTTTAATTTTAAAAAATTGATGTCTTTGTTTTGTATCACAAAATTTTTTAAAATCCTACCCTTCTCCTCCTCCACACTACCTGAAAAAGTTACATTTATTTGAAATTACTTTAACAAAAATCTACTCCTCGCTATGGAGGGAGCTGCTTCATAAGATTACGACTTTTTTTCCTACTTTGCCCACTTAATTCCACACATTTCCTTTTTGGAAAAAGGAAAAGGAAATAATGGAAAACAGCTGGCCTTTGACCACAAAGTCGAAGCAACTTGCTCTGTGTTCTCCCACTCTCTGACTTTTTGGCCAGGTATGAAAACAAGAAGCAGGAGAAGTAGAAGGTGTCATCTACACTGGAGAAGTTTTTTTTTTCCATTCCCTGCACTGCTCCCACATTTAGGCCACCAAGATTCCACTGCCACATTGTTATTGTTACTGATACCATCCAATATAATGTCAGTTCCTGAGAGCTTAGACTGTCTCATTTTTATATTTATATCCCCAATACCTAGAATGGTGCATTGGCAAATAGTAGGCATTTAATAATTATTTATTGATTAATTGAACGATGCTTCACAATGATTAAGATCCTGCTGATGTCCATCTCTGTGGTTCTTTTATTCACCAGAGCCATTCTGTTTTCAACTAACGAAATTCCAGTTCCTTGAAGAATAATATGAAAGTTTCTATGAATGTCTCCACTATTTTACAATGAAAATCAATGAAGGATCGTGAGAGTTCCATGTGTGGAGTTTTATTATTTAGTAGGCTATCAGTATGGAGTATTAAAGAATACCTGTAGTTGAGTACTTTCCATCACTAAATCCATCCATCAGTGTGTACTCATCGAGCGCTCGCAATATGCTGTCACGGTGGTAGGTTCTATACAGGGAAAGAGAAGCTTTATGAAGCATAGCTTCTGCCCTCAAGGAACTATATTTTATTTGGAAAGATAAAAAGAACACACAGAAAGTAATCAGAACACAGGATAAGGTAATTTTTAAAAACTTACTACTGTGGTCAAAGGTAGCAACCTTCTCTATGCCTGGATCAAGTCCAGGGAATAGTATTTTTACTTTGAGGGCATAGCTGCCTATCATTTAGGAAAAGCTTCCTCCCAACAATCGTATATTATTTCTTTGGTCTGTTTTTTTTTTTAACTCGTACTGAAATGACCTTGCAAATGTTTAAATCTTTTCCTTGTGTAACACCATCATGCATTAGCACCTAGAATGTTGTGTGCAGATGTGGTCACTATTCTTCTAATAAGATACCACTAAACTAAAAGCCCAAAGGGAACAAAGTAATCAAGATTATGGAGCTTTTTTCACATTACAAAAGATTTAAAAGTGAGTGACTTACCAAGGCCAGGAGGAAGGGAACATGACATAGTGGTTAGAATGTTGTACTTAGAATCAGGAAGACCTGAGTTCAAATAATCACTGCTGACATTTTGCTACATGTGGGATCACGTGCAGATCAGTCAACCTTTCTGATCTTCAGGCAACTCTCTAAGACTTTAAGTTATAGAGGTCTGATAATCTGGATTTCTGGAAGGAAGTACCACAATAACAAAATCACAGGGCCTTCAGGCACCTCTATTTTAAGTGCCTACTATGGGTAAGATATTTTAATAAGTGTTGGAAGTATAAAAATGAAATAGATAAAGTTTCTGTTCCTAATACTTTATGCTTTATACTTTAGTAGAAGAGGTAGGACATTGGCACAAAATGCAAATTAGAACATAAGGAAAACTAGATATTGAGAAGTTAAGAGATTAGTTCATCATATTTCATGAAAGATCCAGGACCAAAATTCTGATATCCTGACTTGTAGTCTAGTTCTAGTATACTTCAAGAAGATAAAAAATATATTTCAAATCTAAATTATTAAAATTATGATATTTATATTAAAATATTAATCAGTTCTAGAATTGCTAAGATGGATCAGAGGATTAAAAATTTAAAACTGGAAAAGACCATACAGTTCAACTCTCTCATTGAATAAATGAGAGGATATGAGTTGCTCAGGTTCACAGGGTTATTGAATAAGTGAAAATTCTAAGATTCAAATCCTCTGGTTTCAAGTCTAGCACTCTCTCCAGTATAGCATTCTGACTCTCAGTTGTCCTCCCTTACTACCAAAGCCAACATAATGGCGACAATCTACCAAACACTCTTAAAAGTATCACTTGTTATTTTCAGAAACAGAATTCTGAGCTGATCAGACCATTGCTCTGACCCTATGTGGCATTTGTTATATCATTATGCTCTCTTCTATGGAACTAGAGTTGACACTGAGAACATGGTACTAAAAGTCTTCTATTTCCATTGGACACCAGACAAAATAGTTCATTTACGGAGATAAGGAACTCTGTGAAGTTAGAGGTGCCATGCTGTCTTTTAAGAGTGACTATTTTTGGCTTTCATGGCCCTGTGTCATTCTGGAAGAAATAATCAGTCTTGGTTCCCTGGATAAATTCCAGATGGATTTACTTTCTAACCCTTCTCCCCTCTAGTCTAAATTGTTATTCTGTTCTGGTTTTAGCAGAAAGTATTATCACTTCCTATGGACTAATGTCCATAGTTTTGGTAAAACAGTATATGCTCAGTGCCCTCATGTTTTTGCACTTTCAAGTTTAAATACTGTTAAGAAGCAATATGAGTAATTTTAAACCAGAAAAATTGTCCTCCTTTTAGGCTTTCATACTTCATTACCCTTTGTCAGTTTACAGTGGATCAGAGTAAGAGGAAAGATATAGATAGATAGATAGATAGATAGATAGATACACATATATACATATATATAACAAAATAATAAAGAAATCATATATAAATAAGAAAGATTAGATGTGAATATATAACATTACATGTTAAACTTAAATGTTACCTCACAAGAAGATAATAAAATTCACAAAGAACTCTGAAAAATAAAAGGAGTTGAATATATGACTTGTCTATCAAAATTCATCATAAAAAATGAGTTACCTAATTACATGTAGAGATTCAAGTTTCTACAGGTAGGTGAACCTCAGCATATCACTGCTGTTTTTGAGTTGCCTCTAGAGAGGATTGGACATGTCTCACATCTACAGAATGTGTCAGTTCATAGTGATGGCGCCAATATATCTTCTAGAATTTCTGACTGTGTATTTTTCTTGACTTGTGATAAAATGACTTGGTAGAATCTAGCAATTAATTTCTTAGAGAAATCATTGTTTCAGAAACTGCTTCTTCAAAACTCATATTCCTGACATGGTTTTTAGGATATATAAGCTGAACTTTCTGAAATGTTTAAAGTTAATATGTCATAGTCAATTCAACATAAAGGCAGTATGCAGTAGTTGAAAGAATACTGTACGTGGTGTCAGGTTACCTGAGTTTCAGTCCTTTCTAAGTCTCAGTTTCTTCACCTGTAAAACAGAATGATGATGATAGCTATAAATTATTTAGTGATGTTAGGATAGTAGAGCCACCACATTTGACTGCAACATCATATACCAAATAAACTTCTAGAGGAAGTAGGAATAACACTAAAAAAAAATAAGAAAAGCATTTGGACCAGATGAAGTTTTCTTAGAACAGGTGCATGATGTATGCAATACCATTTTGAAGACTTTGACATACTGATCTTCAAGGTATCTAAAGAAAGGGAAGATATCAGAGTTGCAGGAAAAGGTGATCAAGGAAACATTAATAATTACCAACTCATATGCCTAATTTCCGTACTATATAAAATTTTAATTTTTATGAGAATAATCTTTATGCTGAGCATCAAGGATATACTTGGTGAGAGTATTAGAATAGGCAGAGTTTCAGAAATGATATTCCACAGTATAATATGTCTTTATTGACTGAAAGGTATAAAGAAGGCAAGATCCCCCTGGTATTTATTTTTTGTTGGTTATTAACAAATGCACTTAATTTGTCAGAACAAAATACCACTTCAAAGACCTTCCTCAACAAGCTGGCTCCCATGTATGTATCATAATTATACTAAATTCCTTGAAAGATATGTCAATAGAGAAAATCTTGTTCAATGACCCTCTGACCATTCATAACAAGTGATGATTTAAAAAGAGAGAGCTGATTACCAAAAGTATTTGTCACTTTTGTGGAGGAAATCCAGTGTAGACCTGAAGAATAATTCCCAATAGTGAGGTTGTCCAAAAGCTCCTGTATCTGTATGACATTTTACTGATTGCGTTGATCCCCAGAAAACTGCAGAGCCTAATAAGAGAGAAGTTCACTCAAGAGATTTGGAACAATTGCTTATTCATACATGGAAGGGTACATCTATTGTCCAGATTGTAATATGCATCTAGATAGAGATTCTATAGATCTTGTCCATACATATCTTGTAAAGACACAGCAAATGGACAATAGTTAGACCAAGAATTGAAGAGTGGGAAGAGAACAGGCCAAATTGCTTTTAGGGAATTACAAAGTTCTTTTTGATGTCCCCACGTTCCTCCCTAAAACAAAGGCCTATCATTTTTTTTTTTACCATTGGTAGTGCAGTAGATATAGTGCTGGGCCTGGAGCCAGGAAGACCTGAATTCAAATATAGACTTACATATTTATTTGCTGTGTGACCCTGTGCAAGTCACTTAATCATTTGCCTGCCTTAGTTTCCTCAAAGATAAAAAGGGAATAATAATGGTACCTATCTCCCATGGCTGTATGAGATATTCATAAAGAGCTGGCCACAGTGCCCAGCCCATCATAGGGACTACATAAATGCTAGCAATTATCATCATCAATCATCATTATCATTATATTCATCCAATGATGTTATATGGCTATGAGTCATACAATCTCTATAGAACCAAAATTGAGGCTCATCCAAAGGGCAATAATTGTACAGTAAGTTTGAGTAAATTGTAACTCACTATAAATAAGTAATTACATAGAAGTGACATAAAGGACATCATAAAAAAATGTGTAATTGAAAGAAATCAACTGGTCACATGGTAAGAGTGAGGGATAGCCAATCAATAGGCCATGGCCTATATTGGTGTCCTTAGTGTGTCAAGAGAACACGATGAAAGACACCAGAACATTTGGGAGGACCCTACATGGAAAACTTCAGGGAGAACATAAACAAAAATCAATCAAACAGGAGGGCTAGTCATGGATGAGTCGCTGCAAGGAATGCTTACATGGATGAGTTCAAAGATGTAGTGGTATGCGAAAGAGTTTTATTGCTTTATTTAAAGCAATATTTATTTATTCGTAATATTTATTTAAATTAATTATTTATTCATCAAATTATTTAATTATTTAAATTTATTTTATTTTCTTAATTATGGTTTTATATAATATAATTATAAACAAATATATTGTTGTTTGTTTATGTATTTAAGATTTATCTAAATCTGCTCAGCAACCCCCCCCCCCCACCATTGTTAAAATGGTACTAGGAAAGAGAACTCTATATATTGCAAGCAAAAGCAACCTTCAGTCTAAAGTGCCACTTTCCCCTCCTCCATTTCCTCAAACAGAGATAGCCTCATTCAGTATCAGAGCAATGAAGATCTCAGGTATCATTCATTGCAACTTCCTCATATTAAGAGGAAACAGAGACCAAAAGTATAGCCGTCTTTCATCTTCAGAAATGGTATTTCTATTTTCCACACGAATGTCAGTATTACCATGGTCATTCCCTTTGAGTTTCAGCTTCTTTTTGTGAAATGCCTCAAAGAGAAGTAAACAGGCTCCGGTGAAGTCTTTAGGTTTTCACCATGAGTAAGGGACATAACTTAAGGAAACAACTCTGCAACTTACATTTCGGCTGAATTCATTTCTCATCTTTTTGGTTCTTGGCTGTGTCTCAAATAGTTGTAGTTGCCAGGATAAGTGACCCTAGAGAAATGAGTATTAACTAGCATTTTTCTGCACATAGGCTCCTTTACTAAAAGAAAACACAATAAATGAAGAGGGTAGAGCTGTCTGGGAATAGAAAGAATAGTAGTGATAGGGAGAGCAGATGTCATTTGGTTTATGCTGTATAGCATAGCGCAGCTAGGTGATGCAGTGGATCGAGTACTAGGCCTGGAGTCAGGAAGGCTCTTCTTCATGAGCTAAATCTGACCTCAGAAATTTATTAGCTGTGTGACCCCAGGCAAGTCATTTACCCTTTTTACCTCCATTTACTCATTTGTAAAATGAGCTGGAGAAGGAAGTGGCAAAACACTCCAGAACCTTTGCCAATAAAACCCCAAGTGGGGACATGAATCAGACACAAATGAAACAACTATACGAGAACAGTGTAGGGGCAGCTAGGTGGCATAGTGGATAAAGCACTGGCCCTGAAGTCAGGAGGACCTGAGTTCAAATCTGGCCTCCAACCAAACAATTGATACTTACTAGCTGTGTGACCCTGGGCAAGTCACTTAATCCCAAATGCCTAAAAACAAAAACAAACAAAAAAAACCCCAAAAACACCAAGAACAGTGTAGCACAGGGTAATGAATAGAGAATGTGCCTCTCATATGTCCTTTCTATGCGACCCTGGGCAAGTGACCTAACCTCTCAGTGCTACAGACAACATTGTAAGATTCTACATTGCAAAACAGTTGCTGGATCTGAATTGGTAGAGGGAGTTTCTTCAGCAGAACAGGTTGAGTGACTTTCCCAAGATCATATAACTCTTAGTGGTGAGACTAGAACCCAGCCCTTCTTGCCTCTGAGACTGGCTTTGTCCATTATGCCATGCTTGCTACCTCTCTCACTGGAGATAAAAAGATGAAAAAATACTAATTTTACCCAATATTTTCAAAGTACTTAAAAGTTGGCAGCACATTTTATATACATTACCTCATTTTAGCTTCATATGAAAACTTGGTATTAGAGGTACTGCAGATGTTATTATCTTAATTTTATGAATAAATAAACTGAAGCTTGGTGAGATTAAGGGACTTTACCATGGTCAGACAACTGACCATGTTCCAAACATGAGCTTCAAATTTATGATTTCCTGATTCCAAGTCTGACATTCTATCCACTACAGTATTTTGCCTTTCCAAAAAAAAAATATTATTATTATTGCCCTCAAGGAGCTTGTAGTCTACTGGGAGACATAACATTATAAAAATATTATTAAGTGTTTTTATAAAGTAGAATGTGGAATGGACAAAGAAGAGATGCAAAATTGTCTATGAAAAACTTGAGCAAGGAGAGTTCAGCTAGAAGCATAAGGAAGGGTTTCATAGAGGAGTGAGCAAATGGGCTGAGAGTTGAGGGAAAGAAGGATTTGAGTAAGTGGATGTGTGAGGGACCTATATCACAGTGGTGAGAAATGTATGAATGTTTGGAATTGGCAGAAGGAATCATGGATCACAGGATACCAAGGTTGAAAGGGATATCAGAAGTCATCTGATCTAATCCATACCTTAACTGCATCTCCTTTTCAACATCCCTAGCAAGTGTTCATTCAGTCCTTGTTTAATGACCTCCAGTGATAGAGAATCCTGTAACCATTAAGACATCGTGTTCACCTCTGGACAATTGTTTGGACATTTTTCTATATATCAAACATAAATCTGAGCCTCTATTTTCTTTTTCTTTTTCTTTTTCTTTTTTTTTGACTAGGCAATGAATTTAAGTTACTTGCCCAGGGTAACACAGTTAATAAGTGTTATATGTCTGAGGTCAGATTTGAACCCAGGTCCTCCTGACTCCAGGGCCAATACTCTATCTACTGCTCCACCTAGTTGCCCCTGAATCTCTATTTTCTACCAGTTGCCTCTAGCTTTACTTTCTGACCTGAGGCCAAGCAAAAAAGCTAAGTTGACATAAAGGAAAGAATCAAGAGACTCAATTCGAATCTCATCTCTGACATTTACTAGATATGTGCCTTTAAGCAATTCACTTTACTTCTGTGAATCTCAGTTTCTACATCCATAAAATGGAGATATTACCTACCTTACAGGGATGTTGTAAGGCTCAAGTGAGAATGTATATTTGAATTTTTTGTAAATATTGAAATCCTATAAATGCAATATAAATGTTATCTATCATTATTATTCCCTTCTAATAAAACAACTGTCATGTTCCATCCATGTCTTCTCTTCTCCTGGCCAAACATCCCCAATTCATTCAACTGATCCTTGTATTTCATAGCCTCCTTAATATGCTGGTGACCTCTGTATTCATGCCAGTTTGCCAATGTCCTTCCCAAAAATGGTGCCCAGAACTAAATCCAATATGTTCCATATAGAGTCTGATGAGAACAGAATACAGTAGATCTTTTTTTTAATTCTTTTTAGGCTAGGCAATGGGGTCACCCAGGGTCACACAGCTAGTGAGTGTTATGTGTCTGAGGCCAGATTTGAACTCAGGTCCTCCTGAATCCAGGGCTGGTGCTCCATCCACTATGCCACCTAGCTGCCCCAGTAGTTCTTAAAATATTAGGAGAGCACACTATGGTTTTCTTAATTCAGCTTGTCTTTTTTGGTTGACACGTTACCTTGTTGACCCACAGTAATCTTGAAGTTCACTAAGAACCCAAGATTTTTTTTTCAAATGAACACCCCCAATACATGCAAATGTACCTTTTTAAAAAAAAAAAATTTTCTCAATTCTCCAATTGGGATGCTCTGCATATTGTGGAATCATTTTCTTTTACCCAGGGACTTTCTTTCACCACATCTGGACTTGTTAAAACCTAAATTGGTAGTTTCCCTGCTATATAACTTGGAGAAAAGCTCCAATTTAATTAAAAAACAGTTTTGTCATTTCCTTCAGGTGATTTTGGTGTGAGGATTCATTTTTTTAATTAAAGAAAACATTTTTATTTTCTCAAAAAGCTAATATGGCCTATGACTTGTAATCCTGAGAACAACAATATTTTGCTTGTGTTTTGGGAGAGGGTCTCTTTACTGCTTGGCTATTCTATTGTTGGAAGTAATCTTCAAAGGACTGCTGGCTTTTGAATCTGCTCCATATCAAAAATTCTAGCTTTAATTATCAGATTAGCCTGCATTTTTCCTTTGTGACTAAGGAGGAGAAAGGCTGAAATGTGCTTATTACTCTGCAAAATACCTCAGATGGCAGGATATGAAATGTTTAATTTTGTGCTAGAAATGAAGGCTGATCAAATTATAGGCTCATTCAAACCAGGGAAAGAATTAATGAATCAGGGGGAAAGAAGCATTAACCCACAAATGGGTTTTTAGATGTCTGTGCTCACCAACCCTGGATTCTTTTGTGTCTTTCAGGATCCTTGCAAGTGATGAATAAAACAAGAAAAATCATGGAGCGTGGGGGAGCCACTTTTATTAATGCCTTTGTTACCACCCCTATGTGCTGCCCCTCTCGGTCCTCTATGCTCACAGGGAAGTATGTCCACAACCACAATGTGTACACGAACAATGAGAACTGTTCCTCGCCTTCCTGGCAGGCAATGCATGAACCACGCACATTTGCTGTGTATCTCAACAACACCGGATACAGAACAGGTAAGTGACAGTGGCCTTTGGGACTCAGTGTGTATTGGAAATTATTTAATTTTTCTTTAGCTATTTTCTGTTTTCCTGATCCCTTCAGCTGTTAGCTCTCTCTGCCTTGTGAAATGACATTATTTTGTCTGTAGCTTATATTTACTCACATGTGTATGTGTTGTATCTCCCTATCCTCAGAATGTAAGCTTCTTAAGGGGTGGGACCATTTAAGTTTGTCTTTATATTCTTATAACCTAGTATGGTGTCTGGTACATTTGGGTCATAAAATAAACATTGTTGAATTGAATAGAATGGAATCATCTAAAGACGATTATAATATAATCCTCTCCCTTCTTATAGCACCCTCCCCCTTAATCATAGATGAATGTAAAAGCATATCCTAGGAAGGTATCTTTTGTGGATCTTTCCCCATGGGATCCTGGACCATGGGATCTGTCAGCACTTAATATGTTATATTTATAGGCAATGATGTTGATTATGATGATGCTAGAGTTGTCATTGACAGTTATAATTAGATATATATTCACAATGGAAATGAATCCCAAGAACATTAATAAAGTGATTATTTCCATAATAGGAGAGAGGGAAGGTTACACCTAGGGTCTTATCCTAAGTGTGTTTGCTCATATTAGTGATTTTAAATTTATGGCACCTTTTATCCAAGGACTTAAATGCAATTTGCAAATCCATCAAACATCCCTGAGGAATTAGTAGATGGCAAGCTTTCTTTTCACGTTTTATAGCTGAAGGGGAAACTTTCAAAAATGGTGACCTACTCAATGGCAGAGTCAAAAGCAGATCTTTAACAACCTAGCCCTGCCTCTAGGCACCAAGTTTTATATCTCTTGATGGAAAGCATACAGTGAGATCAGTACCTTTTAACTGTGTAACAAGTTTATTATATGGCCTTTGGTAGCATAGACATAGCCCACAGGTAAAGGCCTGATGATTCTGATACCCTCCCATGCAATCCAGAATCATTGTCTATGGTTTGAGTCCCCATCCTCCTATCGCTATGATAGGCATCTGAAACCAGAGATATTTTTGAAACAGCTTTTGCCAAGACACGGCACATGCCAACAGAGTAGATGAGGTTTAAATGTTGGCATCCACTAGGGAAAATCTGTACCTCAACTTACACGAAATTTCCAGGATGAGAAGGGTCAAGAAGATGAACAGAAAGGGACCTGAGTTGGGGAGATGGCATACTTAATAGAGTAGTTGTGGTGAGTTGAGAACATTCCGATTATAGTAGTAGAGCAGGGGAAATTCAGAAGTGAGGAAAATATTTGCAGCCAGTGATGATATGTGCATTCATGTTTCACATGCCAACTGGTCCTTTTGAAAAGTTACTTTATGCCAGCCTTCTTCTTCAGCTGCATGACCATAATCACTCCTCTACCCATTCAGACATGCAGAGACAGATAATGTCTTTGACTTATGTAGACCCTCCCCATCCATATCTCACTAACACTTCATTGAAAAATTTGGGCCTGCTACTTGGGCCTTTTGACTTGAAGATTAAATAAGATAGGATTCCTTCTTTGAGAAGCTTTGAGAATTCATTTAGGGCAAATTGTAAGGCTGCCTCCCTATGCCTAGAATACATGCCCTTTATTTCCACCTATTGATATCTTTCAAAGCTTAGCCCCAGGTATTATCTTAGCAAGTTTTCTTTGTAAAATTTATTTTTTTGAAGTTGCATATTAAACTTATAGTTTGTTAAGTCAACAAGCTTTTATTAAGCACCTACTACATTCCAGGCACTATGCTAAGTGCTGAGGTTACAAAGAAAGGCAAAAACAGTCCCTGTTCTCAAGAACATCAAAACCTAATTGAGGAGAAAACATGCAAGCAACTGTCTATGAACTATATACAGCATATATTAGAGATAATCCTCAAGGAAAGACATTGAAATTAAAAGGACAGGGAAGGATTTTTTTGCAGAAGCTAGGACTTTAACTGAGACTTGAAGACACCCAGGGAAGCCAGGAGGTGAAGATGAGGAGGGAAAGAGCTTTGAAAGATATGTGTGTGTGTGTGTGTGTGTGTGTGTGTGTGTGTGTGTGTACACATTCCTAATTTCTCTCAACTGAAAATGAGCTCTTCCTCAAATTTTGCTGGAGCACTTTGTCAATCTCTCACCTTTGCTGCAATCAACTAATCAATCAATAGTATTCTTTAAGTTCCTTCTATGTGCTCAGGCACTGTGCCAAGCAATGGAAATATGAAGACAAAAGTGAAACTGCCCCTGCCCTCAAGGAGCTTACATTCTAATAGGGGAGATTACATATATACATACACACTCATATACCTATATAATTATACATAGAATATTTACAAAATCAGTATGATTGGTTTGGAGAGGAAGGCACTAATAGCTGTAGGGAATGTGGAAAGGTATCCTATAGATGCAGCTTGGTCAGTTGTACAGAATATTGGACATGTACTAAGGAAGACTTGAGTTGGAATCTTGCTTCAGACAGTTGGGTATTCCTGGGTAAGTCATTTGACCTCTCTTAGCCCCAGTTGCATTATCTGTAAAATGAGGATAATGATAGCATCTATCTCACAGAGGTAGTGTGAGGAACAAATGTGGTAAGATATATAAAGTACTTAGTAAACCTTAAAGGGCCACATGAATGTTATTATTAGAAGATATACTTGATGTAAGTTTTGAAGGAACTTCTCTAAAAGAATCAGAGAGATCATTCCAGGCATGAGGGACAGCCAGCACAAAGGCAAAGAAAGACACAGGAAATGGAGAATCTTGGGAGAGGATCAACAAGCAAGTTAGGACGTATAAATTGTAGAGAGTCGAGAGAGGAGTAATGTGTACAGGTATCAGAAAAGTAGGAATAAGCCAGATTGTTAAGAGCTTTTAATAACATACAGTGGGATTTATCCCTGATCTTAGGGATGATAGGAGACTCCTAATACATTCTACCCTGTATTATACTTCCTTGTGCACATATATATCCCCAGGTAGATTGCAACCCCCTTGAGGTTAGATTGTGCTATTTTTCATCTTTATAATTCTGTTATCTTGAACATAATAGGTGCCACTTGAAAAGTAAATGTTTAGCCAATGAACAAGGGAATGAATCAAACTGTAGTTTGACTGGATTTTGTCAAATGACCATTAGAAGAATCTAGTGCTCTTACCCAAACCCACAGATTTGGGTTCAGACAGGCCTGTCCTTGGGTAGACCTGAGAGAGCCTACTCTGCCTGATAGCACCTTCTGGAGATTCATACCTTTGGTCCCACTCTAAGGTACTCTGTTTAGATGAGGTAAGCAATAAAGGTCTCCAGAGTGATCGTGATACTATGCCAGATAACAAAAAAGTGGGATCTTTCTTCCAAAATGAAAAATATCTTTTAAGGAGAATAATTTTCCACATAGTTGAAAAAGGCAGCAATAAAGAAATAAAGGTATAATATGCAGTTGGGGGCAAGTACATTAATGAATAAAAGTGGAATTAACATTTAAAGACTCTGAAATGATAGTAATTTAGGTCCACTTTGTCAAAGTCCATCTTTACTGAAAAAAGACAATTAGGAAATAATGAATGATCTGACAAAATAATATTTATCCATCAGAAACCCATTTGAAAATACACCAATCAGCAGATCTGAGACCTGAGCATCTTAGGAAATTAAAAGATTTAGTGACCATGTATTGAATCAGTAATTGTTATTTATTCCTGAGAAACCTGAATTTAGAAAAAGTCATTGTTGAGCAGATTTATTTTTTAAAAAATGAATGTGTTATTTGGCAAACTGGAGTTAAAATTAAGTATATTGCCCAAATTAATAGAGAAGTATAATACATTCAAATATACATCTAGCAGAGGGCGTAACAAAACATTAAAATTGTATAAGAACAAAGACCAAGAAGCAAATTATTAAATAGACTCATTTGGGAACTATCCAGAGGAATTACAGAAAATTAATTGAATTAGTACAATGTCCTGTCTGCCACTGTATAAGATGATTTATTGAGCCAAGATTTGTGGTTGGTTTAGTAATACCATGAATGTTTAGAAATTGTTCTTGGATAACAAAACTTTGAAAATGCTTTAATTTTTCAATAGAAGGAAATATTAATGTGTCTAACTTTATGAGAGAAGAGTTTGGGGTACTTTTTAACAAGAGAATTCTATATTTTTTCTACAGATATATTCTATATAGAATATATGTATATATATATATATATATATATATATATATATATATATATATATATATATATAAAAATATAAATTCTATAGTAAGTGAAGTCAAGATACCTGGGTTCCTATCCTGGCCCTGCTACCAGCGGGGATAAGTACAATTAAAGATCTAAGGCACCTTAGAACCAATCTATTCCAAACCCATCATTTAACATGTGAAGAACCAGAGATTCCTTGAGGTCAAGCGACTTAACTAGAGTCTCACAGCTGATTCATAAACTGTTCTAGCACAATAATAATATAATCATCTCTCCACTGCATCTCTACTACCCCACGTATCATCTTGCAATCTTTTTTGAAGGGAACCATGTAATAGCATACCAGAAGAAACAATGATATGGAAGGGTGAAAAAATAACATACTAATGAAATTTTCAGATAATAAATTAGGGTGAACTTCTAATACCAAGTAAAGTAGACCATTTCTAAAACATACCTAGAAATCTTGGTAGTATAGATAGGAAAATGAAATTCATCTTAAGGGAAATTTACACTCCCAATGCATCTGTAGAAAAATAACTAGAAACACAGATAATCAATTTCAGTGACCAGTCAAGGAAAAGGTAATGTTAAAAAGTACCAAGTAGTTATTGCAAATTAGCCCACTGTTTCCTACTTCAAGAAAGCCAACGTGATTTTAGGCTGACAATATAGTGGTGCAGTGTAATAATATATAGAGGTAAAAGTCTCTCTCCATAGATGTTTGGTGAGACCATATCCAGAATATACAGTTCATTATTTTAAAATACTTCATTAGTAGAAATATGTAGAAAAACTGGAAGTTCAGAGGCAAAGTTCAAGGATCACCAAGGGACCTAAGGAATAATTTGTATGTGATGAGCTAAAAAGACTAGGTTTTTGTAATTAAGGTATTGAAGTAGAGTTGGTTTAAAAGCCTATGACATTTAAATGGGGGGGAAAATAGGAAGGAGAGGAATTATTTTACATTGCTACATCAAGAATACAGCGAAGAGTAATGGGATGGAATTAACCAAAGGAAAATGTCAGCCAAATGTAAAAGAATCTCCTTGCATTAAGATCTGTTAGATGGTTAAATCATCATTTCAAGAGAATGAACTGTCTTCCCTGGGAGACATGTTTCTGTGAATTGGCATAAAGCAGAATAGAAGGCACCTCAGAGAATTGTCCTGAAGTCCCTTTTAGTGTGGCTGGCACTGTAGCTTAGATGATATAACAGGATAGGTCTTTGATAGCTGCTTCTGCACATGGCCTGAAATTTCTGCCTGTGTCTCAAAGTTAAACTGCATTTGGTATGAAATGTAAAAATATCTTTTGCTCCTTGTGCTCCTTGTGAAATAAAGTGCATGTGTTTCGGGGTTGGGCAGGAAGATGGGGAGAGCTGCTCTGTTCTTTATATAAAAGGTCACCTTCAGCAATTGGGAATTAAGTACTGAACAATATCTGATTCAAGAGCCTGTCTTATTATGAGGATACAATCATATGCATCCAGCATTTTATTTATCCTTTTTTCATCACCCTCATTTGACACCATTTATCTTAAAATCACAGTCAAGATTTGATGCCAGCAATCTGGCATCTGGATTATGGTAAATTAGATTAATCAGTCAGAACATCAAAAAAGTGTAATTTCTTCAGTATGAGAACTTCTTGCATCTTACAGATCCCAGATCACATCCTGTCTATAAATTTTATTTGTAGCAAGTGTCTATTAACCCGAATACTTAATTAACCAGACCACCAAGATCCATCAAGACTATCAAATTCAATCAACAATTTAACAAATATTTATCAAGTGAATTAATGGATTAATTTGAAAAAATATTTATTAAGCTTACACTCTGCACTAGGCATTGTGTTACAGTGGGAGGGAAATGAGATTACCGTTCTATTCAGGGAATACAGTGTGTTAAGTAAATACAAAGTATATACAAACTTACACAAAGTAATTTCCTAAGGAAGACAACGTTAACGACTTAACTGGGGAGATCAGGGAAAGCCTTGCAAACTTGGGATTCTGTAAGGTGGAGGTGACTGCCAAATTAATATTCCACTTCTCAGACATGGGTGTTTTCCATGCAGAGGACCCTAGCAAAAGCTGGGAGCTGTCCACAGCTGAAACTTATTTAGAGCAAGGCTGGCAGCTGGCACAATGCACCAAGTCTAAAAAGAACATCAGTGTGCTTGCTTTTTTGAGTGAAATCAAATTGTATCTTTGAACACCTTCATCCTTTTGGTCCCTCTGCAGCAGTTTACCCCCTCCTTCACTCAGACACACTGCTGCTCTCCCTGGGTTTTCAAGACACTCCTTTCATCTGGTTCACCTACTACCTGAGTAGCTACTTCTTTATTGGATCATCAACATGCCTGCTTTCTATTTGTGGTTTACTTCAGGGCTCTGTCTTGGGCCCACATCTTCTACACCTATTCTCTTTCTCTTAGGTATCTCTTATGCACTCATTGACTTTACTGTTGTCTCCATGAAGACCACTGCCATATCTATTTATTGAGCCCTGATCACTTTCCTGAATTTCAGTCCCACATCACCAAATCTCAACATGTTCACAGAAGAACCCAACTTTCCCTCAAAGCAATTCCATCTTTTCAGCTCATTTAATTCTGTCAAGGGGACTACCATCCTTCCAGTCACCTGCCTTCAAAACTCAGGAGTCTGTCTGGCCTCTTACCTCTGATTCATCCATCATATCCAATCAGTCACCAAGTCTTGTGAATTTTACCTCCATAATATCTCACGTCTATCCCTTTCTACTCACACAGTCACCACTGAAATTCATGGCCTCATAATCTCTCATCTGACCAGTTGCAGTAACTCCATAGTCAGTCTCCTCATTCCAGTGTCTCTCCTCTCTAAACCAGCCTCCACACAATTGCCAAGTTGATATTCCAAAAATGCAAGTCTAACCCCCAACTCTTCTCAAGAAGCCCCAGTGTCTGCCTATTGCTTCCAGGGTAAAATACCAACACTTGTGTGTGACTTTGAAAGCCCTTCACAATCTGGTTCCAGTCTCTCCCAGCTTATTATATATTACTACCCTTTATGCACTATGTATTCCAGACAAACAGGCCTATTTGCTATTCCTATACAGAGTTTTCTTTTCTGTCTCTGTGCTCAGACTGTCCTCCATATCTGGTATATACTCTCACTAGAATCTGTAGCTTCCTTCAAAACTTAAACCAAATTTCACTTCCTATAAGAAGCTTATCCAATTTTTAATGCCCTTTCCCAACACCAAATATTTTGTGTTAATTTTCTGGGCGTGTGTTGTTTTCTTCCCACATTAAAATGTAAGCTTTTTGAGTACAGGGACTATTTAATTTTTGTATGTGTGTTACCTATATTTATTATGATATACTACATATATGATACATTATTGTATATTATATGTTACATATATTATTACATATTTTATTATTAGTATTAGTATTATGTATTATACCTATTACAGTGTCTGGTATGTAGTAGGTGCTAAATAAATGCTTGTAGAATAAATGACCTCTTTGTATAAGCACAAACCTTTTTAGAGACTGAATTTCTTCAAAATTTGTCTGACCTTGGTAATTGTTTTCTTGCTTGCCCCATAAATCCTATTGATGTCAAATTGACATCTCATTTTTCTGAAACCCAGATCCCACCCCTTCTACCTCTGACCCCTGGTTGCTTGGTATCTCATGATAGCTGTGTGGATAAAAGACTGTATCCACTGAAGGACCTATGTCTTCTGACATTAAAGGGTTATGATTATGAACTGTCCCACTCAAACCAGGCTAGATGACTAGTACCACATCCTTGGTGTATTGAATGCTTTCTTGATATTTTCTTAATAAAACTATGATTTCCAATCTAACATTTACTGATAAGAATACTCCCTCTACCAATGGAGGCCCGCACCTCAAGCACATAAAGAGTTGCATAGAACATTAAGGAAAGAAGGGAGGAAAAAGGAAATAAGCATTTATAAAATGCCTACTATGCTAAGCACTTTACAAATATTATCTCATTTAATCCTTGCAACAACCCTGCAAGTTAGATGCCATTCTTATTCCCATTTTACAGTTAAAGAAACTGAGGCTAACAGAAGTTATGTCACTTGGCCAGGATCACACAGCTAGTAAGTATCTGAGGCCAGATTTGAACTCAGGTCTTCCTGACTCTAGGCCTAGTGTTCTATCAATTGCACCATCTAGCTGCCTCACTGCCACTAAGAAATTAAATGACTTTCCTAGGTTGACATGGCCAGTGTATGCCAGTGGCAGGACTTGAACCCATTCCTTCTTGACTCCGAGAATCCATCTTCTCCATGATGCTGTCTCTCAGTGCACACTTATCTTTCATTAACCAATTTACCTTACTTTCTTATAAAATAGGTTTTACTTCCTCTCTTGTCCCTATATCCATGTTTTGCTGCTTCCTGCTGTCCTCATCTCCATTTATGAAAAATCACACCCATCTTTCAAGATTACCTCAAAGGCCCTCTCTTTCATGAATCCTTTCCTGATCCCCTCCCCCAAACTATATGTCATCTATCCTCCTTCGAACCCCAATAGCATTTTTGTAAATATCTTCTATTGCCATTCTCCATCTTATAGAACAGGTCTTTGTTTACGTGCCTAATGTGCCACCTCATACACAAACATACCACACTGACTTATCTTATTCATCCCACAGTACCTCATACATGGTAGGGGCTTAATAAATGTTTGTTGAATGGACGGAGTAGAGAAGGAGAGAATGAGTGAAACTTTAAGGTCTTTGTCATGAAGCATATCACTGAAGTCAAAGTTTCTCTTGGAGTATAATTGCTTTAACTTTAAGTTTAACTTAAGTTAGGCACCTTTTAAATTAGTTCTAGTAAAATTTTGCTGCTTTAAAATAGTAGTAGCTCAGTTAGGGAGCTGTGATCTTAATTGTACCAATATGATGCCTAGCTCTGGGTGCTTTCTTCATTTTCCCAATAGGAAAATGGCTGTTGCATTCTCAGTCTTTCAAAGTACTAAGGTTTTCCAATTGTGATATTACTTTGCTATGTCATGTTAAAATGAATTCTGCAATTTCTTGCCATTTCTTAATAAAATTATAATTTCATATTACTTTGCATTTGTGTGACTGGTAATTCCATGTGAGAAAATTAACATTCCTCCCCATCCCCCTACACTACAGCTTTCTTTGGAAAATACCTCAATGAATATAATGGCAGCTACATCCCTCCTGGGTGGCGAGAGTGGCTTGGATTAATCAAGAATTCTCGTTTCTATAATTACACTGTTTGTCGCAATGGCATCAAAGAGAAGCATGGATTTGATTATGCCAAGGTAATTTCCAGACCCTTTGACACAACATCAATTATCTCATTCTTAATGGGGGGGAGAGAGAAGCATTTTCAAAGAGTTTGCCCCACCTATATTGCATTATTTTCCCTTATAGTGAAACTTAGTAATTTTAAGATTATTTTGGAATAAAGGTAGGGAAAAGCTCCAAGGAACACTAGTTTTGCAAGTTTTTTTTCTTCTCATGATTAGGAGAAATAAATCTTTAGTAAAAGTATAAGGAAAAGTACTGACATTTAATTTTTCCATGGTTGTTCGTTTTATTCTGTAGAGAACTTTTTTGTATTAACAGCAGCTTACTTGAGCTATTCTTCATTGCCAAGGAATTTTGTCTACGAAGTCTGAATTGGAAAGGAGATTAATAAAAGAAAATAACACTTTGCATACAGATCACTTTTAAGGTTAACAAAACCCATGGCATTTATTATCCCATTTGATCCTCACTAAAACCCTAGATAATTGAAGTATTATTATCCCCATTTCAAAGATAAGTGAACTGAGGCTCAGAGAGGTTAACTAACTTGCCTGTGATCCTTTAACTTGCTAGTGGCAGAATGGGGACAGAGATGTAAAACAATCAGGGGCTGGGAATCTGCCCTCCCTGTTTTCAGTCTTCACCACAATTGGCTTGTGCTATATAGGAGGACTTTGCTTTGCAAGTATCTCACAGTATTCGTTACTATGAGCCAATTCTGGAATTTCCAAGGTGCCAAAAAGGGATGTAGTATATGACTCATCAATGACAATAAATATGTTTGAGCTCAGACATTTGAATGCAAGATCTGACCTGTAATTTTGCAATGATGGCTCCTAGTTTGCTGCCCCATATAAGGGTGAAATGATCACACTTGAAAATCAAGGAAAAATATTTGAACCTAACTCCTCAAAATTGTAATTGGATTCAGCCACATTTGCCATTAAAGCCCCTTTCCCCTCCTAGTCATGACCATTTTCTTTCTCACTAGATTGTTGAGGGGTTTTTTTTGTCAAATATTGCCATATCTAGCATTTAGAGCTAAAAGAGACCTTGTGGGTCATGTGGTCCACTCTCCTCCTTTTATAAATGAATGCAAAAGGGATTTGCCCAAAGTTACACAGTGGCAGAGCAATGATTTGTATCTATATTCTGATCAAATCTACCACCCATTCCAATTTAGTGTGTTGTGTCCCCAAATATCAAAAATAATCTGAATCTCCCAAATGAGTCTAACTCTCAAGAGAAAATAAAAAAGCACTAGAATAGGAAGGTGTGGTCCACTTGCCATATTTTAGAATTGACCTATTTGAATATGGATGAATTTGTAGCTTTTACAATTTCTTGAGCCTCCAAAAACAATGTGAACTGAATGCTCAGTTCTTTTTATAGTTATAGAATTTTAGAGCTGGAAAGGACCTTAGAGAGTACTTAGTTTGAGCCCCTCATTTTACAGTTGAGGAAACTGAGACCCAGAGAGAGGGAAGTGACTTCCCAAGGTGACACATCTAACTACTGACACAATTAGGGCTCAGAGAGTACTGGAACTAAGTCCATTAATCTATACCCTTGTATTTATTATCCAAGGGAGTGTTTTTCATGTTCATTGCTCAAGTTATTAACCTTTACCTCCCTGTTGTTCTGAAGAGTACAAGGTAATCACCACTTCCCAAAAAATATTAAATTAGCATCTCTTTCTCATTATTGAAGCAGATTAAATGTCAAAGACTACTGTGTCAAATAAGACTGTTGCATGGTGAGGCAAGGAATGAGAATGACAGAGAGTGAGGAAGAGCACAGCTGGTTGGCCTGTCCCGTTGCTGACATGTGACTCAGATGCTGCCCCCTCAGGCACTGCTTTTGCAGCTGTTCAGACCCTTGAATCCACAACATGTGATTAGTCATGCCTGGAAGTGTTTGAAATTGTGAACATTGCCCAGGCACTTTCTCCATGAAGTTGACACTAGAGCCCTCCAGGCCAGTCATGTTGACCTAGGGAGGCAGGTGGTTTAATTTAAGTTTCCATCTTTTCTTCTTTCTCTTTTTGATTTCATTTCCTCTTTCTTCCTTGTAGAATTTCATTAGCCACCCTGGTTCTGAGTTGAGCCATTTTATTAACAAGTTGCAGCTCAGCTCCTGGCAGCTGTCCTGCTTTATCTGGGCAGTTAAAAGGGCAGGATCAGCAGGAATCAGCCACATTCAAATGTACATAAAGGTTTCAATCTAAATCCACTAATAAAAAAAATGTATAACAACATTTTTCCCTGGATACCTGTATTTTGGCAGCCATTTTGGAATAGTGATTATTGTGTTACTCTCCGATATGTAAGATTAATTCAAAAGGAAGGAAAGTTCTTTCTTTGGCAGAGTAGGGGGGGAGGGTTCTATAAATGTGAGTTAGTAGTGGATGTGGGTGGTTTCCTGCACTTGGAGCAATTAATTACTTGTCAAATTATTACATCAACGAAACCCAAGGATGAAATATGTATCCGGTGTTTCATAGCTAGAAACATTTGCGTTGCCAACTCTGATAACTATCTTAGGTAAACACAACCTTTTTTTTTTCTTTTCTTTTCTGATATCTAAGTTGTATGTCTCTGTAAGGGATAAAAATGATTGTATCTGTATTACGTATGTTGCCTAAGTAAGGGCATACTATGTACTCATTCACACACGGATGTCCTTATCTAGCAATTTTCCACATAATTTGACCAAGTGGCAAGTGTCTTTTCTGGAAGAGCAGCTGGAATTAAGTGGAAATCAGGGCAGGCATCCAAGATGTGTATGTATATATGTATGTATATGATTGCCCAGAAGGCTTGTTTGTATTTCTTCCTTTAGACTATAATTCATTAACAGAATTTCTTCTGAGGAAGTCAGGAGGAGAATGTGATGTGCTTGATGTCACCCTTTTCGTAATTTTTGTTTTGTGTCAAATGTATGTTTCAGGACTACTTCACAGACTTAATCACTAACGAGAGCATTAATTACTTCAAAATGTCTAAGAGAATGTATCCCCATAGGCCCATAATGATGGTTATCAGCCATGCCGCACCCCACGGCCCCGAAGATTCAGCACCACAGTTCTCAGACCTCTATCCAAATGCTTCCCAGCACATGTAAGTAAAATAAAACCTGGATGCTGACAAAACAGGACACTTCACTCTTCCCAACCCCGATCCTCTCCAGGTTCCTTTCTGCACTGTAGGTTAAGGGGGTGGGAATGTGGGGCTTGATCACAGGAGGAAGATTGAACTGGGCCCAAATAAATAGCCCCTAGCAACCTGGAGCAAAATTAAAAGGCCATATGTAGTATTGGAATTATGAGGAGTGGTTCCAATATCTCAGGCTAACTACATGTCAAGGATAAGAGAGTTCATAGAGTTCCAAAGATGTTTCATGGGCTATTAAGAATTCATTTCTACATTCTTGTTCAAAGAGGCATTAAACAAAATCAAGGTGGCTATGCTCTTCACAACAGCAGACTTTACCTCGATATGATTATGTGAATGTGTGTTTGTTTTAGGTAAATACTTCAACAGTTTGGTTGCAACTGTTCAACTTGAGTTTCTTTCCTTTGGAGTTCTTGGGGAGGGGAGGAAAGTTGTTGGAGGAGAAGGGGAATTTTTAAAACAAGAAGATATTACTTTTAAAATAGTTATGATGATAACACCATCCACGCAGTAGTTTAAGGTTTGCAAAATATTTTCCTCACAACAACCCTGTGAGATAGGTAGTATAAAGATTATGGGATCATAGCTGGAAGGAACTGCTAAGTGATCTGCCCAAGGTTATACAGGTAGTGAGCATCAGAGGTTGTGTCCTCTAACTACAGAGCCAGTGTACTTTCCATTTCATTGTTATTGTTCAGTCATTTCCGTTGTGTCTGACTCTTTGTGACCCCATTTAGAGTTTTCTTGGCAAAGGTGCCAGAGTGGTTTGCCATTCCCTTCTCCAGCTCATTTTGCAGATGAGGAAACTGAGACAAACAAGGGTTAAAGATTTTCCTAGGGTCACATAGCTAGTAAGTGTCTAAGGCCAGATTTGAACTCATAAAGGTGAGTCTTCCTTATTCTAAGCCCAGTTCTCTATTCCATTGCCCATTGCAAGCCCATTGCTCTACTGCATTATTCGTTTCTATTTTGCAGCTGAGGAAACAGAGTCTCAGAGAGAATAAGTTACTTGGCCAGCTAACGGAGAATAGGGATTGTTTCATTATTTGTATCCCTAGCAACTAGCATAGAGCCTGCCTTGTTGTATCTGATTAATAGATTCTTGCTGATTGATTGCCTGTTTAACTAGGGAAAATGAACCTAGACCTCTGTACTACATATGCACTCTTAACATGTTGCCTCCCTTTTTTATAGGAGGTAGAAGTGGTTGGGCAAAATGTACCAAAGAATTGTACTATTCAAACAACTTTCCTCTGCCCTTAGGTGAAGAGTCTTTGATCCAAATCTAATTTTGCTGACTAGTTGATGGAAAGGTACAGCTTTCTTGGGAGCGCAGGCATTTCTATACTTATATTATTTGGCACATTTTCCTTCTGCCTGTTGTTAGTAACATACAATCTTCAATCTAGTTATAATTTTTTACTGACAGCCTATATAGTTTGGGGTGAGAATACAGACTGGGAATATGTTGCACATAGTATGTAATCAGTACAAGACATTTGGAGGATGAATGTTGTTTTCCTTAGAGTTATAATTAGTCCAGAGCATAAGGAGCTTTGTCCCCAGGTGATGATAGCTAAGAGTGGGGAAACATTATTACTTCCTGTGGTGCCATTTCTGTTTCTAACCTCATAACCCTCTGCTGGCCCATCCTGCCATGTGACATGACTACTCTCAAGTTATCACTCCCAGATTCTAAGCTCCTCATCAAATTTTACCCAAGAAAAAAATCCTCACTATAACTCTGGCCTTCCTAAATGCCCACAGTCTATTAATGAACAAGCTCTTGGATGCCTGCCCTGATTTCCACTTAATACCCTGGACAGGAATATCTCAGAGAAAACAGTGATTTCTGTTGGCACTCTGGTTTGCCAGTCTCATTATCTCTTTGTTATTTTGTGTTCTTATTTTGTAGATTATTGTTATTAATTGATCATTGTTAGGTGATTAATTAGTCATTAATGCTCTAAATTACAAGGGGAGGGGAGCAGAGGAAAGCTGGACTGTTTGGAGTGAAGTTTAGACAGTAATGCTGTCTTTCCTCAGAGACTACCTTTTCCCCATCTTTGTTCATGTTATTTTTTAGCTTGTATGACCTGTATTAAGGCTCTGAGTTTTAGTATTTTATGACTTCTTTTCTTCCTTAAAGACATTGCATTCCTTTATCATTTGCTGGTGTGTCACATTATGCATTAGGAATTTCCCTATGAAATCGTTTAAATATTTTTTTTCTTTTAATTGACCGATGAATTACATTCACCGCAGGGGCTTCCTAGTCAAAGAAACCCCGTGGGGAAGCCTTTTGTAAAGCAAGCAATCCTTTTGGAATGTCAGGAATTGCCCATTCATTTTGGATTTTTATACATCCAGGTTTCTTAAAGTGGGACACACCTCTGTTCAGTAGTGTTCCTAGAGGATAATATACTCCTTTACTGATAGATCTATTAATTCAAATGTTACATTAATTTATATCTTGTTGACACTAAAAAAAAAATTTAACAAGTTGGTAGCCATGCCTCCCCTAAAGTGCCCCTCCAGTGCCCCATTGTGGTGTGGAGGTGACTGACCCTGGGTTCTCAAAGGTTATGAGCAGCAGAGCACAAGTTCTGATGGGTCCTGTGCAGATAGAAAGTCTTCAGGTAGTACAGACAACGCTGGCAAATGAAGTAGGAATTTTACCTGATGGCCAGGCTAGCTCACTTTATATTTGTATATCTATGTATACATCTGCGTGTATATCTGTATTAGAGGAGACAAATGCAAACAAGATAGATATATTTGTATATGTACATACATTCAAATATATACATACAAATATATGTGTATATATACACAAATATATGTATCTAATCTTGTTTGCACATAGTATATATAATATATAGCTATCTGTATATTTATATGTGTGTATATGTATATATACTATATGTGTATATACTTTAATATATGTGTGTCTTGTTTGTACATAATTGTTTGTATATTGTCTTCCCCATTCTACTGTTAGCTCCTTAATAATAGGGACTATGTCTTTGCCTTTCTTTGTATACTCCCCATTTAGCACAGTGCAAGACATACTGTACATAATAAGTGCTTAATAAGTGCTTTTTAACTTTAGGTATTCCCTCCAATAATGTAGATCTGAACTCCTCTGTGGCTTGATAGGTGGCCTTCATCATTTCCTGTGGGTGGAAAAACTCATCACCTGGTAACTAACTTGCTGGTAATGAACCCCTCTGAAGTGAGCTAGCCTGGCCATCAGGTATCAGTCATACAGTCTTTTGCCAGGCTGGCTAATATGTGTGTGTATATAATGTGTGTATGTATGTATGTATGTATACATGTGTATATGTATATGAAAGAGAGAGAGAGAGGAAGGGAGAGGGAGAGAGAGAGAGAGAGAGAGAGAGAGAGAGAGAGAGAGAGAGAGAGAGAGAGAGAGAGAGAGAGGGAGGAAGAGGGAGGGAGGGAGGAGAGAGAGAGAGAGAGAGGGAGGGAGGAGGAGAGAGAGAGAGAGAGAGAGAGAGAGAGAGAGAGAGATCAAATCATGGACCTTAGAAGAAAAATAACAATCATGAAGCATATGTTTATATCACAGCAATATTAACTCTCAGAAATGATCACAGTGAAAAGAATTAGGGATTCTTTCACTTAGCATTTATATTCTTTAGCTGCTCAGCTTTTCCATCTCATGTAGGATCTTTTTTTTTAAGTACAGTGGAATGGTCTCTGAGGTTGGAGTGAGCGCTAGGTTTCAAACCTTGCTCTTCCTGTGTAAATAACTACGAACAAGTTGTTTAATCTCTCTGTGCCTCAGTTTTCTCAACTGTTAAATTAATTGAACTAGGCAGCTTATAAGGTACCTTTCAGCTCTAAATTTATGGTCCTATGCTCTCAAATGATAACAAAAATGACTTTCGAACCATTTCTCTAATATTTTGTCAAGAAAAACAATTTTTCAGGATCCCATTTTTGTACTCATTACCATGTTTTGGCAAGTACGTGATAAGAATTCACTAATTCAGTGAACCAAAGGGAGTTGCCAACTCTCTTATCAATATTTGTTCAACTTCAGGAAACCAACACCCACTGTGCCAAAGCATTACATGGCAAATATCTGTTTTCATTAAAGTGAAACAAATTGTTTTGAGAACACTCTAAGATCAGTAAAAATTTCTTGAGCTGCTAAGAAACTAGAATTTTAACTAGATTTTTGATTAGTGATAGAAAGAGTCATTCAAACAGACATTACCAGATTCCACTTATGCTTTTCAAGAGCATCATTATTTTTCCTTGCTCATTGAAGATGTTCTTAAGTCTTTAGCAGGAACATTTTAGGGGCTTTTTAAATAATATGAGTGTAAGGTATCACTAAGGTAATATTGCTGAAATTTCTCTGTGTGAAATTTATTCCTTTTAATTGAACTTGTCACTTAATCAAATCCCAAAGTGATTCCAGCAAGGGGAATCCACTATGAGAGAGAGCTGCATTGCAAGGATAACCAGAATGATCTCATTCATGAATTGTGGGAATGAACAAAGGGAGGATGGAGCAGCAAACCCCTATTAGTCCAGGTTAGCTATAACATAAATCACATGAAAGAAGAATTTGGATCCAGATTATAAATTTTTAAGTGTTGGCCTAAGAAGTTTATATTTTATTCTATAGAACACAGGTAGCCACTGATGGTTTTTGAGCAGGGGAATGACATAGTCAGGCAATGTATATTGGGAAGACTCTTGGGAATCCAAAAAGAATAGTGGCTATGTCTCAATCATTAATTAATTGAGTGAGATATACCCATTACCATTTTTATTAATGATTTTGAGTGTAGAAGTCACATGTTAGTTGGTTTCCAAGCCACTCTATAAACTCAAACAGGCCATACATTAAACCATACATCAAGGAAGCATTACCCAACAGATGCTGAAGCATTATGTCACATCTGGCT